AAAACTGTCCAATGTGATGTCATCACGTGGTACAATATCAAACTTGATGTCAAAGTTAGTGTACTTGTAGCTTGATTGAAAATAAAAATGAAATAATCTACTATTAACATATAAAAAAAGAGTAAAATGTTTGAACAATCACTGAACTTTAACATGGTCACAACTTATTCACTGAACTTCAAATTGTGTCTCGGTGGTCATTGAACTTTCGATTGTTGCACCACATCCAACACTCGCCAAATTTTGTTACATTATTCGCTGACGTGGCTAACGAAAATTTGATGTGGCAAGTTAGGCAGTTAAAAAAATGACAGCTCAGGGAAACTATTGTTTCATTACTCATTCAACTTACACTTGATCACAGTTCACTCATCAAACTTCAAATACTTTCCAATTATCATTCATCTTTGAAATGTTGTACTACATTCAACATCCGCTATATTTTGTTCCCTTCATTTCTAATGTTCGCACAAAAATTCCACATGGTAAGTTACAAATGTTAAAAAAATTACAATTCAACAAAACTTAACTCACCAAAATTACCATATATGAAACGTAACTTCGGACTTCCACGGTTCTAAAACCCAATAAAGCGTCACTAATGATTATTTTAGAAATATCATTTTTCTAATTCAAATATTTACTGTGCAAAAAATAGTTTTTAATTTGAAGCATAACTTGTTTGGTGATACTTTATTTATTTATAACCGTGGATGTCCAAGTCAACTTGCGTACACCTCAACTAATTCTACGGAACCCTAAACTTTACGGCCGGATACTCACCTCGGTGGTCGTGTTTCATATATGGTAAACGTTCATACCAAACAAATTATTCAGTTTCAGATTGAAACCTATTTTTTTATGTAGTAAATGTTCGAATTAGAAAAATGATATTTCTAAAAGAATCATTGTGGACACTTTATTGGGTTTTAAAGAAGTTGATGGGGGTCATGGAAGTCACGTTTCATATATGGTGATCATGGTGAGTTAAGTTTTGTTGAGTTGTAATTTTTTTAACATTTGTAACTTATCAAGTGGAATTTTTGTGCAAATGTTAGGAATGAAGGGAACAAAATATATCAGATGATGAATGGAACATTTCAAAGATAAGTGACAATTGGGAAGCGTTTTGAAGTTTAATGAGTGAACTGTGACCAAGTGTTAGTTGGATGAGTAATGAAACAATGGTTTCGTTGAGCTGTCATTTTTTTAAAGGCCGTAACTTACCATGTCAGATTTTCATTAGCGAATAATGTAACGGAATTTGGTGAGTGTTGGATGTGGCGCAACGGCCGAAAGTTCAGTGACCATTGAGACGCATTTTGAAGTTCAGTGAGTAAGTCGTGACCAT